AACTCTAAGCCCTTGTCAGGAGCAGTATCACAACATGTCTCTTGCCACCAAAGTCTCCTACCTGTTCGCTAAAACGTCTGAATCACCTGTTGGAGGGTAGTTCCCAGTGTTGCTACGACACGTTAAGGGCTGTGTGTCCTATCAGCTGTTATAACGTCCTGCCACCCACCGATAAGGTTCCCATCCTGCCCCCTATCGTGGAAACGACACCTTACCGTCGCTGTGGCGCAATTTATAATGTTGTTGAGCTTCCTTTTGTAAGGCCTATTATGGTATCTTATCAGCTGTTATCACTGCCTGCCACCCACCAAATATAGATATAAATAGAACCCTGTTTACACTACTATGGATCCACAGGTCCCGTCGTTGCTCTGGCCGTGCATATGAACTTGGTGACCTCCCTTTAGAACCCCCTGTGCTATCCATCTATACCTCTATATAATTCCTGCCACCCACCGAAAATGTTCCCATCCTGCCCCTATCTCTCTACTTGGATCCAACGCCCGGCCGTTACTCTGGCCGGTGTTATGAGTTTGGTAACCCACTCTTTTTAAGGCTCCTCATGGTATCTTATCAGCGGTTCACTTCCTGCCACCCACCAATAATGTTCCATCCTGCCCCTATGTTGCTACTTGAGCGAAGTCCGGTCGTTATTGCTGAGCCGAACGTTATAATTTTGGTGATCGCCTCCCCTTCTAAAGGACCCTGTGAGTATTCTTATCAGAATATTAATCAGTTGCCTGCACCTACAATAGTGTTCTGCCCGCCCCCTACATCACTTTATCGGCTTAGTTGAGCAGCTCTGACAGCTCGCTTTGAAGGGAGTTATGGAATATTCGGTCAAACCACATGGCACAAACACAAGCATACACAACACAATACTATCGTACGCACACACACATACACACCAACAGACAAACTTAGCGGATTATAATAGTAGGACATTTTGCTGGAAAATGAACTGTGACGGTTTGGCGTATTTTGCACACTCTACCTCGCTTAAAGAAAGAGTGCCTGGCGAGCCAGGCCGGCCCGGCGAAGCCGCGTGATAACGGAGGAGCGCGCGCAACAGGCGGTGCGAACCGTATATATATTTTATTCTATATATATCCGCTGAGTTTTCTGTTGGTGTGTGTGTTATGTGTGTTTGACGGCGGAAATTCAAAACTCTTCAAGACACGATTGTGCGCGTCAAAGTTAAGATGAGGTAAGGAGGTCAGGATGGGAACATTATTAGTGGGTGGCAGGAAGTGATAACGGCTGATAAGATACCATGAGGAGCTTCAGGAGCGGAGGGTCACCAACCTCATAACGAGCGAGCGTCACAGCGACGGTAGAACGCTGATTGCAAAGAGTAAGATAGGGGACAGGATGGAAAGATTATCAGTGGGTGGCAGGCAGTGATAACAGCTGATAAGATACTACAAGGGGGCCATCACAAAATGGGAGTCATCAACTTCATAACATGCGTCACAGCGACGGTAGGACGTTAGTTCCAGGATGAGACCATGGGGGCAGGATGGTACATTATTGGGTGGTTGCAGGAAGTAGATAACAGCTGAAAGATGACCGGTAGGGGTCTTCTTTCGAAAATGAAGCGTAAAATTCATAATACGAGATTGTTGACATCACTGAGGAAAGTGGTGCTTCAGCATAAGTGATTCAGTGAGGGATTATGGAACAGGTTGGAGATTTTAGTGGTGGACAAATTTTGATAGCAAGACAAGGCCTGAGAACCAGTATCTATCGCATCTTCACTCTGCTTGCGAGTGAACTTGACCACCGCTGCCAAGGAACCAACGGGCAAAGGCAGTGAGCCAAGATGTTTCCAGCCCTTAGCGAAATCCCTTAGTTTGGCGGCTGAAATTTATTCGACCGCTAAACTCTAGAGATTCACTTGAAAACAAAACCGAGATGTTGATCAGTGAGGAATGATGAGAGGCACCAGCAAACGGATACGTGAGAGCTGCTCAACGAAAGTACTAGGATGTAAGGACATTCACGTTTTCGATATTGCTATCATCGAAACTCTTTCAACCGTTGAGCTGTCCTATTTCCAATGAATGGCGAGTGTGGTGAGAAATGTATACGGCCCGCCAGGAAATGTTCATTGAAACGTGCAAAAATGATGATGGGCGCGTATTTCGCCAAGTGTTAAGATATGTTAGTTTGTCCAGGCCACAGAAATCCTCTCTGTAATCCGTACCATAGGTTGGAGCATGCGCGCAGTACTGCGCGTCAGCCGAACTGGTATAATTATATTTCAATTATTTAACGTAGTGGTATTATTTCTCGAAAAGGCGAATGGTTTTTGATTAACACCTCACCATGTGATTATAATAATCATGCTTCACAATATAAGTCTGTTTTCGACTGCCAGATGACAGGGTGCCTAGGAGTTTGGGTTTGCGCGGCCCTGCAACCGTCTCTCTCCACGTTGTTGAGGCTCGGGTAGCGACAGCAATTGTGGAATAACGAATACTCGGACGTGATAGTGCTTGCTACACTTGTCGCTATACAACAACTGTATGGAAAAACGGTTGCTACGGTAAGACTTAGAACTTACTTCCTTTGACCGGTCAAAAATTGTGTTTTTCTCTGCTCACTCTCGCCCGCGCGCCACTCTATGATCATTGTGACTTCGCACATTCCAGCTTTTCATGTATGATAAATGACTCACCACCCCGGAGGATCCCATAGGTTTTCTTGACTCTCGATGCATTGGAGGCGCTGTCTCTATTGTCTGGTCTCTGGTTTCGCAAGAGGACCATGCAAAAAAGCTCAAGATGTCAGGCGTTATTCAGTCTGCGACAGGGCTCATTGGTTGAGGATTTTAGTGGAATCTGTACGACCCCCATCCCCCTTTTTGGGATTTGGTACGACCCCCACCCCCCAGCCCTCTGTCCTTCCTCACCGAATCAAATCGTCGAGCGGGGGGGGGCATATAGTAGGCATGAACAGGAAAACGCGAAAATTACGAAAAGTCAACCACCTCTTCCTACTACGCCAAAACGTAAATACGACCCCTCCCAAAAATGACCAAGTACGACCCCCCTTACAACGTCCATGAAGCGAGAAAAATCAACTATCAAAATAAATTTTCTCAGCCCAAATACGACCCCCTCCTGGCGACCAAATACGACCCCCTACTCATTTGGGAATAGCCAACGATGTGCGTTGCGCGAACTCTGACGAAACGGCGGTTGGGCGAAAAGCAAGAAATATTCATCGATCGGAGAACCGCTAACCGTTAAACGTTTCGTTGAACCGCCGCGGTTCGACGGTTGGGCGAAAAGAAATAGTTGCCATCGATTTTGCTGGCGAAAAACGCCAGAGCGGTCGAGCTAGCGTTTCGCGAAGGCGAAAGGGCGGTTTGGCGAAACGGGGAATGATTCTGCGTTTGATTCGTATCAAAGAGTTTCGCCCACGCCAGACTCCGCCCAACCGCTAGTCGAAACGTATCGAAACTTTTCGCCGAAGCGCTTCTTTCTAGAAAACGCTGGGCCGCAGTCTGTGAACAATGCCTCACGTAACCGTGAAAAACGGATTTGACCACGAGCCCATCCTCCGTACACACCCCGTTCATCGCCGCAGCACAGATCATGTAAGACTCAATTGATGAAATTTTAAAGCAGTTATTTTACTTCATTTCAGTGACTGGTTTTAAAACGCACTTCGCATCAAAATAATACTGGCTATCGCTAGCATCCCTTGTGTTTGTGACTCTCAACTGATTCCATGTTATCTCTCTTTAGGAGTAGTGACTTCAAATGTCCGGATGTGTAACACCTCTCTAAGCTCAGATTCTTTTTTTAACGTGATTCACTGAAAGAATGGAACTTTGCGATTTTGTTATGAATCGAATTTTTCGTGAGTCTGGGAGACTGGAGCAGGGTGCCATTGGCTAACTGGCTATAAAGATTTGCTTCTCTTCTCCCTTTAGTTCTGCTGTTGGATCCCTTGGCTTCTGGTTGTCCCTGGGAGTGTCGAAATAGACGATACGCACAGTAGGTTTATCTGGCGAGTATACCACACACAAAACTAACTCAACCCTACCGCTCACCTCTCTTAAATACGCTCTCAAAAGAGGTGCGCAGTATCAGCTTTATCAGAGTTCATTCTCTATACAACACCTCCCCCAGTAGAAAGACAAGGAGGATTTGAACAACAATATTTGTCTTTCTACTTACAAGGGAACAAAAACATTCATAATTTGAATCTACACATCAATGCCATATCGTTTCACAGGTCTTCGTATTCTAGTCGATCGTCGCATTGATGGTTCTGGAGAGCACGGTAGAGCGGTGTTGACGTCCAAGTCACTAGCAGTCTCGTCGTTGCTTCTTAGCCGATTGTCGTCCAATTCTAACACGTCGAGCAGGGTTTTCAAGGAATTGTCTTCACCACTACAGCTTGTCCCTGTATTGCTATGTCGTAATTGATTTGCGTGTTTCCGCATCAGCCTTCCTTCCACGACGACCTCATAGTTAACTTTCCCAAGTCGTTTCTGCGACAACTCCTTGCTTCCATGTGAAGTGTGGGGCTTTCCACACCTGAACATATACGTCGTCTCCCTTTTTGAATTCCTTCAAAATGGTACTGTTCCTCTTATCGTATTGTTGCTTCATCTTCCTTCGGCGTACGTCCGTGCTGATGTTTCGTCGGTAGGCAAGAGCAAGGTTAAGCGCGTGTGAAGTTTTCTTCCGAGGAACATCTCTGCTGGAGTTCTGTCTTCAAGACATCTGTGTGGAGTGGTTCGGTATGCTTGCAGTATAACATTGATCGTGTCCTCTGAGGGTCTCTCTTCCCCTTTGAGTTTTCTGATTCCTCTTTTGAACGTATCCACGAAACGTTCCACAAGTCCGTTTGACTGTGGGTGGTACGGGGCGGTTCTTATGTGCGTTATTCCTCCTTCCTCGCACATTTCTTTGAACTGGCTTGCCGTAAATTGAGTTCCATTGTCAGTGACAACAGTTTGTGGTAGTCCATATCTCGCGAATTCACTGACAATAGTCTGTGGTAGTCCATATCTCGCGAATATCCTTTTCAGCTCCTTTACAGTCTGATTTGCCGAAATGTTTTTCATTTCGATAACCTCCTGGCCATTTACTGTAGGCATCTACAATTACCATGTAGTAGCAGCTACAAATCGGTCCAGCGAAATCCACGTGAATCCTTTGCCAGGCACGAGTAGGAGTTGGCCATGACTCCAGTGGCACTTTTATGGATTTTTCGCATATTCTTGACACTTCGAACAGTTACGCACCATGTTTTGGCAATCGTCATCAATGTTTGGCCAGTACACATAGCTTCTAGCAAGCTTTTTCATCCTCACGATTCCTGGGTGACCAATATGTAGTTCTTTAAGCACTTTGGATCGCAGTTATTTCGGGATTATAACTCTCTCCCATCAAGAGACCTTTCACAATGGTAGTGTTTCCTTTCTATTGAAAAACGGTGCCAGCTTGGGTTCGACCTCTGGCCATCTTCCGTGTTTCACATATGACTTGATTTCTCGCAGAAGTGGATCCTTCTCTGTGCTAACTCGCACATCTTCATGAGTCAAGCGGTAGTTTTCCTATGCATTCCTTTGAGCAATCTTGAGACATCGTTTTCAACTGCTGCGACTACCATTTCTTCGTCTGATACTGGGTGCTGTTTCATCAGTCTTGACAAACCGTCCACTTGACCAAATTGCGTAGTCTTCACGTACTCGATTTCGAAGTCATATCCCAGCAAAATTGTTAGCCCATCGCACGAGTCGGTTTGCGGAATAGATCGGAACTCCTTTCTTGTCGCCAAAAATCGCTAGTAAAGGCTTATGATCTGTCAGCAATAGAAATTTTCTTCCAAACAAGTATTTGTGGAACTTCTTGACAGCAAATACAATTCCAAGAGCTTCCTTCTCAATTTGTGAATAGTTCTTCTCAGCAGTTGATAACGATCGAGAGGCATGTGCGATTGGTTTCTCTGAGCCATCGGGGTAGCGATGTGAAATAACACATCCGATTCCGTAGTCACTAGCATCGGCTGCAACAACAAGTTTCTGCCGTGGATCGTAGTGGGCCAGGTTCATGTCACTTGATAACACTTCCTTTTAGGTTTCTGAACGCTTCTTGTTCTTTTGAAGACCATTTCCACACCGCATCCTTCTTCAACCGTGCGTCCAGGGGTCCACGTAGATCCTTCATAGAGGGTACAAAAGCGAGTAGTATGTCACCATGCCGAGGAACGCTCTTAGTTGGGCAATATTTCTTCGGTTCACTCATATTCTTAATTGCTTCGATCTTTTCTGGATTGGGTCTTCTTCCATTTTTGTCCACGATGAAACCAAGGTATCGGATTTCCGGCTTGGAAAACGCACATTTATCTAGACGAACTTTGAATCCGTAGTCTGCTATTCATAATAGGGCGAGCAAGTTTTCTTTGTGCTCTTCAGCTGTTTTGCCGCTCACGAGGATGTCGTCCAAAGTAGTTACTCCTCTGAGTCCAGACACCATTTTGTTCATTACTTGCTGGAAAATCGCTGGTGCGGTCTTAATTCCGAAGGGCAGTCGATTGTATTGAAATAGTCCTCTGTGTGTGTTTATCACAACTTTTCTTTTTGAGTCCTCGGATAGTTCCAATTGCAAGTAAGCGTCCGATAAGTCGATTTGTGAGAATACCGTTCCTCCATTTAAGGACGCAAAGATATCTTCTGGCATGGGTAACGGGTAGCTGAAGGATTGCAGAGCTTTGTTCAGACCCATTGAGAAATCAGCGCATACTCTGAGCTTTCCATTTTGCTTCTTCACGCAAACGATGGGTGCAGCCCATTCACTGTGGTTCACGGGTGTGATGACACCTAATTTTTCGAGCCTGTTCAGTTCTGCGGTCACTGCTTCCAAAGCTGCATGGGGGACTGGACGGCTGCTGCAGAACACTGGATGCGTATTTGGTGTTAGCTGTAATTCAACTTTTTCCTTGGTGCAGCGTCCTAGACCTTCTTCGAAAACCTCCTGGAAATGTTTTCTTCAACTCTTCTTCAAGTCTGGGGTTGCAGTTTGCTTTCACTTCCGCAGCTATCATTTCTATGTGGTACATCAATTTCTCGTTTGCTCGAATCCATTCGAGACCCAAGAGTGAGCTATGCGGCGTCACATAGGCGTCTCCTTCAGTATTGACACCTTTCATGGTAATCTTGCATTTAAGCTTTCCATATATCTTCATTGTATCTCCACTTGCATTTTTCACGACTATATTGGTCTTCTCCAATGCTGGGGAGCCCATCTTCTTCCAAATCTTCTCGTTCAGTAACGTGATGTCTGATCCAGTATCGAGAAGAAATTTGACTGAGTAGTTGTTCACTACAGCGTCGATGTACACACGGGAAGAGTTTGCCTGAACTGCTGCATTTGCAATCTTGACGATTCGTACTTGTTTTCTCGGACCTCTGTTGTTTCTGTTCCTCGAGAACTTCTCTTTAGTATGCTGAGTTTTCTGCGTCGCCTCTGTGCGACCCGCAGTCTTCTTTTTTCGTAAACTGTCACAAAACTTTTCCTTGTGACCGACCTTCCTGCACTTCTTGCAGAACCAAGGTTTTCGCTTGGCATCCACTAGCACGATGGTTGCCTTCACAGTTCCAACATTCTATTTCCTTCCGCTTCTGGTACGGACGTGGCTTCCACTAGTTTCATAGTTCCGGCGACAACTTCACTGTCTCTCTTGAGGCTTAAGAAGTTTTCGCACTCCTGATGCAATTGTTGCAGTGAGACCGTTTTGCCAGCTTTGTAGTCCAGTATTGCCATCAGCCTCTGCCTGATCTCTGCCTCCTGCTGTGACTTCATCCGAAAATCCACAGCAAGCATTTGATCCCGTCTGAGTCTAGCTCGTGAATCTTTGCTCTCGCAAAATTCATTCACTCGACCGGTATACGTGAGGAAGTCTTCTGATTGGCTCTTCTCTAGCTTGAGACATTGATATCTCGTGGTAAACAATGACGACTTGAAATCGAACAGCTGCTTGAGTATGTCCACCGTCTCGGTGAACCCAATTTCTGTCACATCTCTTGGCAGCACATGTCTTTGGTACTTCTCGAAAGATAGAGGATCCAATTTTTCGCAGAGCAGTCTGACCTTGGTGCTTTCAGAAAGCTGCTTTGCATCTTCGAAAACACATCCTTGTATCTTGAAAACCATTTTGAGAAGTTCATGTCGGCATCCGGGTCGAAAACGAACTTTTCAATGCGGTTGCTCAACGCTGCCATCAAGTTTGGGAGTGCCATGTGCTCCGTCGCATTGCAATCTCCCTGTCCGCGTTCTGGAATGCGATCTAGCAGTTTTGCGATGACATTCTTCTGTTCGTTCATAACATTCCTCTGTTCGTCCATCATTTCTCTAAACATATAGTTAAGATGGTGGTCACATCCATTTTTCAAGTGTCGATGTGGTTGTCCGGTGAGCTGGACTGTACTTCTGTCGATAACTTGTGCTTGGCTGGCACGCTACTGGTTATCCGATGCTGACCTTATGCTCCAAACTGTGCAGGTAACAAGGTAAACCAACTTCTATCACTGCAAGAGTAAAGACTTATCTGCTCAGGTCCTCGTCCGGTTCTTGCAGAAGTATGTGATATATCATAGATAAGCGAGCAGAAATATACGGTTCGAATCCTGCAGAGTCGAATAAAAAGGAATACCGCACGAAGAGACCTTGGTTCTTTGCAGCACTGTAGAAACACTGGTTTTTCTGCTGTGGCCAGAGATCCTTGTCTTGCTTCAGATCTGGTCCTGGTCGTGGACTTCTTCTGCCCTAGCTCTTCTTCTTTTGAGAATTCCTGGTTTCTTCGCTTGTGTGCCTGTATATCCTGATCGCCAGTGTTGGATCCCTTGGCTTCTGGTTGTCCCTGGGAGTGTCGAAATAGACGATACGCACAGTAGGTTTATCTGGCGAGTATACCACACACAAAACTAACTCAACCCTACCGCTCACCTCTCTTAAATACGCTCTCAAAAGAGGTGCGCAGTATCAGCTTTATCAGAGTTCATTCCTCTAATACAACATCTGCCATTAAAGTGCATCGCAGACTTACCTTCCTGGGTGAACGCCAGTCATTGTGGTCAATGCACGGTCTAATTTTCGGAGCCGTCTGTTCCAGGAAAGAAGTTTTGATATCTTTTTCCCTTATTTTATCTATATCAATTTCTCGAAGGCTTTCAATAATTTGAATCATGCAAGGCGTTTCTACACGTTATGGCACTTAGGAATGAAAGGTCCCATCCTTAGCTAAATGCGATGCTGTTCGAAAGACAAACATTGTGTGTCTAACCATAAGTGGGTAAAAGTTTCTCACAGAGTTTCCTTTGTACTGGTACATTTCCATAAGGAGCCTGTGGTGTCACCGTTGTTGTTCCTGGCGTACACCTACGGCTGCGTTCCAACTTCGCCATAACGCCTACCATTGCAGTAGTACTCCGATGCTATAGACAGCCATAGTTTTAGGATAGTTTAGGAGAATAGGAGAGTACCGGACTGTGCGCTAGTCTTCTTATTCTTCTCCCTAGCATCAGCGCGCTGTCGCAGGCTCCACTTCATTCTTTAATCTTGTTCCTTTGCTTCTGTTGATGATGTCCCTCCAGCTATACATTGAGGCTCCTCTGGTGACTGCACTGTACCTCTTAACTGCTTCCTCTTTTTTCTCGTTTATTATATAAAACTCACAAACATCTTCCCTTTTACGTGTTGGTTGTCGCAGGAATCTTTACTTTCAGCTGATGGTGCGAGGTATCAGAAGCGTAGGCTCGTCTGAGGAAGAGACCCAAGTGATTCGCTTCCTGAATCCTCTTACGATTATCAGTGGTCCCAATGGAAGCGGAAAAACCGTAGGTGGAGTGTCTTGCCTATCTGCTCTATCTATGGTGTACGCTTTCAGACACTCATTGAAGCTCTCAATTACATTACCACTGGAGCACTCCCGTCTGGTAAGCTGGCATCTTTCGTCCACAGTGTAGAGGTGGGTTACTCTCCTTAGAAGATATAGGGAAATTCTACTAGTTTACACCATTTGCGGTTCAGGGGAACAATTTGCTCATGGTGTGCACCATAAAATTCTGGATGACATGGGTATCAACATAAATGGAAATTTCAAGCTAAGATATTTCTGAGACGTCTTCCTAGAAGCAAGAACAACTCTGGAGCAGTTTGAGATTTCCGCAGCTGAAACACTCATCCTTAAGACTGTCATTCCGACGGTAGAAGCAACCAGCCACCTAACTACATATTTGGACAACCTCGCAATGGTTCGCAATTTCCGAAATTCTGTTCGTCATTTTCACGGACGCGGAATGTCTCAAATTTAAGGGAGTGTCCTAAGACAATGTACAATACATTTACCCCATCTCTCAAGTTCATATTTCACGAGAATCAGATGGGTAGATCTTCTCCTTGGACAGGTGGTCCGGTACAAGATCTCAGAGGTTGTCTGACTAATAGGGCTAGCTCCAGCTGTCGTAGGCCGAAGGCACTCCACCTCATGTATGTAGCTGTTAAATGCAGACGAGATTTTTTGGTAGTCCTATATACACAAACACTAACGTGACGCCTTGGTCATTCTATGTGAAAAGGCTTACGCAGACGCGACAGCGTCCCGCCTTATTAGTAGAGTACTCGTGCAAACTCGGGGCCTTTCTTAGGTTTCTATCCTCGACGGTTTTGTATACTATTTCCTTCGCTAACAAGGGAGGTCGTTCAGGGCGTGGTGAGCTTTTTCAAAATGGTCTTGTGCATATTGTAGGGGCACATACGAGGACCAGAAAACTGAGGTTCATTTTCGCTGCGCGCTTCTACGAATAAAAAAAACGTAAAAAATAGGTCGATGGTTCGGATCCCACCGAGGACAAAATTTTGCTTTTCTACAATTTTTCATTTTTTGGATCCATGTTTGTCTAAATAATTGGTCCTAACAAAAACATTCACGATAAACTGAACAATCCTACTTTTATGGAGCAAAACTGCTTTTTCGTTCGAATTCGTTAGTATGCACAGACTCAGCTCTTCGGCGCTATGCCGGTGCCAGATGGCACTGGAACCGAAAATAAAGTCTAGAATCGTGATCAGGACTGTCGATTACCCCTAGGAGCAAGTTTTGAGCGAAAAATTTTTTTTGACTTTTTCGGGTTGTAGGTGGCCGACCATTTGGTCGGCAGTGTGAGCGGAGTCTCACATCTTCGTAACAGCGATGACGTATCGTTGACGCTACGGACCCGGACCCAATAAGCAAACCCAAGAAGGTCAAAACAATTGTTTTGACCGAAAATTCGTTTTTAGTGGTAATCAGTGGCCCTGATCACAAATATAACACCTATTCTTGGCGTCCACGCAATTTGGCGACAGAATAGCGCTGAACGTTCCCTATATTGGTGTACATAACGAATTCAGTGGAAAGAAGATGTGGCCCCAAATTGTCTATAATTGACACCACAAGAAGTTACTAAATTCGCAATCAGATCCACTGTATAGCCTATGAGGATCAACGTCCAGCAACAATCTTGTTCAATGGTGCGTCGTTAGCAAAATTAAATAGGTTTAATAAGCCCTGGACTTAGGTCGGAGTATTAAGCTACTCAGAATGTGCCCATAAATGGCAAATATCCGAGTTATATTCATGCGCAGACACAAATGGAAGCGAGAACAGCGAAATCTAAAAAATGCAAAAAACGGCAACGCAAAGGGGGCCGAACCATCAACCCCACCCTCACTGTGCGATTGCGAAACTCCACTCTTATCGCTAAACCATTCCGAGTGCCTCGACTCTTGCGTAGTGCTCTTATCGTTGATGAACCATTGCAAGAAGCCGTTCACCCTTGAGCACATGACCCAAGTTGGAAGCTCACTTACGGCGATTTTTCGCTTCGATTCAAACAGCCCCTTTATAAGGACCCCCACTCAGCAACTGGTCAAAGTTGCAAGTGACCTACGCCGTATAGAGGCCCAGAACGAAGCAGATTCCACAGATTTCTTTTCACTCGTTTTTTACCTTTCCTGGAAGCGCGCAGCGAAAATGAAGCACATTTTTCAGGCCCTTGCATGAGCCCCTACAAGATGCAGAAAACCGTTTTTGAAAAGCGCACCACGCCCTGAACGACCTCCCTTGTAAGGGGTCATCTAAGCATTCTGATCTATTTGTATTTGGGTCCTGAAGTCCACGAGCTGTCATTGTGGCGTGTGTCTTTAGGCTTTTATGGTGCGCTTTATGAGCAAGATGTCTTTTTTGCCATCGTCAGCTTCATATGTTGAATATGTATGTGAAATGTACTTCACGGTAACAATATTTGCTTATATTTTGTGTATTCGTAAGTTTTAGGCATGTCTTAAACCACGAGTTGATGGCTTGGTAAAGTTACAATTCTTGGACTGCAAAGGAAGAATGTGCGTTGCTACGAAAAGAGTCAATGCCACAATGTCAAAGGTATAATCATCTATAGCACATCAACTGCTAAGTTATAGTGTAGTTCGCTGCGGACGGTTGGGCATGTCAGGCGGAATGAGTTTCTGAGTTCTGTGCAAAATGGAGACTCGAAGTTGAAGCGGTCTTTCCTAACAGGGTAAAGCGTCGTTTGTGAAACACATAAGAGTGTCGTACTTTTCTGGCTGGGGAGGGGGGTTCGTGTGTTGGTCATTATTGGGAGAGAGGGTGTATGTGGGTTTAAGAGGAATTAGCCGCGTTGGGAACGATTCCGGTGTGCCTTTCGTGTCATGAATTTTACACTGGAGAAACATCAAGGCCGCTACTCAAGAGAATGGAGGAACATATGAGAGCTCTGCGTAGTCCACAGAATTACGTTGATAATCCATTCTCGAGACATTGTACACTACTACACTACACTACACTACCATGCTGAGGAAAGACCGCTCGAACTTCGAGTCTCCATTTTGCACAGAAATGTGGTTGATCCCGTCGAGAGAAGAATAAGAGAACCGTTAGAAGTTAAGTATCCAAACTCACCGTGTGGGGAAATAAGCTCGCCTTATCAGCTCTTGGCTGGCCACGCGGTATCACCCCATATATAATTCGCTTCGTCTGGTCTGTTTCTTTGTAAGTTTGTTTGTAAGTTTGTTTGTTTGTTTGTTTGTTTGTTTGTAAGTTTGTTTGTCTGTCCGGAAATTCGGTTCGACCTGAAGAACGACTTGGAGAGGTCGGGGTCAAGGTGGGGATGGGTGCTCTAGGAGCATGGGCGAACAAAGCCACATTGAACCTACGAACCGATTGTCACTGAGCTGACTGACCTGCGAAGCCCCGCCCACTGTGGGCGGGGCACTCACTGAAATTTTGGGTTTCACAGAAAAATGTTCATAATTCGCTTCCGGAGCAGCCTAAGATGGTGAAACAAGGGAATAAGGTTAGTAAGGAGTCGCCAGACTAACTGTGGCAGACACATCCAAAATGGGGGGCGTACTCAAGGTGGCGGTTGCTTCGCATAAAACTCAGTAACTCGGTTCGCGAGAGTGTTCAGAAGCCGCAAAAAGCTCAGTGCAGAATGTAAATATCTGGCGAGTATTGGGCATGCCCAAAGTGTGTTGAGATCCGCCCACAGTGGGCGGAGCTTGCCCTAAACCGCAGGATACTCACTTTAAAAGTTTGTAGCTCGGTTCCAGAGCACTGCAAAGACCGGAAAAACGTGCGTCAAGGTCGGCAAGGTTCGCCGCAGTGAGGACTGGGGGTAAAACATTTAGCGGGCAGACAAAAAGGCTCTTGTTACAAACGGTCCAGAGCTCTCCAAGACCGGAAAAAAACGTTGATCAAGGGTAGGCAGCAGGGTCGCCGGTGCGAGCGATTGCTGTAGGTGACAGAAAATTTGGGGCGGGCGCCTGCTCCGAGGTGGACGGAGTTGTAGACAAAAATTTCCAAAACTCTCCACAGATCCGAAAGCACCGCAAAAACAGTGACTATAGTGTCAGACAGGCGTTCGAAGGTGAGGACCGGGATCGAGGGCAAAAACGTTGTGGGCGGAGCCTGCTTCGAGGTGGGCGGAGCCAGACAAAAGGGTCTGTAAAACGGTTCCAGAGCACTCCGAAGACCGGAATAAAATGGAATTCAAGCGAGCAAGGGGTCGCCGATTAAGAAGCTGGGGGTATACATTGCTGGGCGGCGGCCAGCCCGAGTTGGGCGGAGCCAAACAAAAATTCTCCAAAACTCTCCCAGAGCACTCCGAAGACCGGAAAAAAGTGGATCAAGGTCAGCAGAGGGTCGCCAATGAGGATTGTGGGGCACGAAAAATGATGGAGGCGGAGCTAGTTCGAGATGGCGGAGCGCGAGACAAAAAACTTGCCTGAGAACGGTTCCAGAACACAATCAACACCGGGAAAAAGTGGACTTTAAGGTCAGCAGGGGGTCGCCTGTGAAGAGTGCGGGGCACAAAAATTGAGGGCGGGTCTGCTCTGAGGTGGGCGGAGTCAGACGAAGAATCTGTAAAATAGCTCAAGAGTACTTCAGACACCGGAGAAAAGTGGAGTACAGAACAAAAGGCGGATATCAGTTGAGTCTAGAAATATGTGAGAGAAGGTACGCGCGGCGAAGCCGCGCCCGCCCGGCGCAGCCGGGCCGTATCAGAAGGAGCCGCGCCGGCGTCAGCCGGCGAGGCGACTGGTTGAATATATAGTTGAAATGCACCAGAGTAATAGACCTAAAGTTATTGTGTGGTAAACTTGGGTCTTACTATAGAGCTAACCGTACCGTATTGATGGGACGTTGAGCCTGTGTAGAGTCACCGGATATTGATCGGAGATATTGAATGTCGAACTTATCGAGATATCGTGTTTCCGCGGGAATATTGAAAGGTCGTATTCTACAAGAAAACACTGAGGATTTATTGAAACACACTAATACGAACAATAAGAATAGTAAGTCCTACAGAATCTGAAATACAGTCGTGCCGGCGATATTGCGAGTAGAAGCAGAGCACCGCGGACGGAACCCCCGAGGCTCGGCGCGACGCTCTTCTATGCTGCGACATCGTCCATCTAGCTTGGAATGTAAACATATCTGTAAAATGCTTCTAAGATCAGCCTGATGATAAGAAAATCTCCCTGAAAGTAATCGATACAAATTAGAAAAGAAAAGTAAACCTTCTAACCGCATTTACAAGAGTAGCGTGTTTCGCTGCAC